CAAACCTCCGGCCCGGCGGCCTCCTCCGCGGGGAGCGGGATGCAGCACCCGGCGGCCGCTGAGCTGGGGGGAGGCAACACCACCGCCGGTAGCGTAACCCCTCCCGCTGCCAGTCGCTCCGATGGCTGGCGCGCCGGGAGGGGGCCGCCGCCGGCCCGCCCGAGCACCCGTCCCCCCAACGGCCCTCCCTGGAGCGGACGGGCCCCTCTCGCCCACTTCCCGGGCGCAAGTCCCTGCCTGGCACTCATGAAGTTTCACTGCAGGAGGCGGGGGCAGCTGCGAAAGCAAGACCCTGCCTGCCCTCACGGGTCTCCCAGAGTGCGGGGGCAGGAGATTTCACAAACCGAGGTTGCAAAAGCCAGAAAGAACAAGGGTTTCTCCTGGTGAAAAAGTGCGGGCACGTGAGTGCCATGCACCCCTTCTTTGCAGCTCTACCTCTGCTCAAGGTTGGAGGGAGGGAGGGAGAACCTGACCCCAGCCATTCCCCAGGGCCAACGCCAAACCCTGCAAGAGGTGTGTGCTTGCAGGCAGGTCAATGGGCTATAACCTAAGATAGTGGCCTGAGTCTCCAAGAGACAGCCAAAACCACGAGGGTGGGCAGGGGGTGGAGAGAAGCAAACCTTCCTCACCATGGCAGGTGAGGAAAGAGCCTCAAGACACCAGATGCGTGCTCTTTTTAAAAAAAATCTCGGTGTGCTTTTGGTTTGCTCCAGAAAAGTCTAAGAGGAAATGCGGGGGTAGCAAGTTGCACCACCCCACCCAAGAACCTACAGCTGAATTCAGGAGTCTAGGCAAAAGAAATGAAGCTAGGCCAGTGAAGAAGTCTGATGTGAAATCATGATTCCACCTGTACACGGCAGGGTTAGACAAGAAAGGATGCTCCTCAGCCCGTCCAAGAGAACAGAAAATGAAAGAAAAGCTGCAGGAGGTGAAACCCAGTACAGTACTGGAACCCTCCTTGTCAACTGCCAGCTCCAGCATCCCCTAAAAGAAATGTCCGGCACCATTCAGCGGCCCTTCCTGGAACTGATCCAGGATGTGGCAGTTGAAAGCTCAGAAGGGAAAAGAAGAAAGGGGCTGCCTGCCTCTGTCTCTCTTAGGGGCGCTGCTTCCTAGGAGACAGCAGACACTTGCAGAGAAAAACAAAAGGTGCGCCCTGCTCTCTCTTCAAGGCCTTTTATGTGCCCAACTGGGCTTTCTTGTGCCGCAACCAACTGCGCGTTGCTGAGGCTCGTGCTCAGCCCTAAGAGATTTTGGACACCCCACTGGGGAATCAACCAAGAGCTTCACAGAAGCAGATCTGCATCAGCTCAGGAGTGCCGCAGCCCACTCACAAAGGGAGGTGATGGGGAAGATGCGCGCGCGCGCGCACACACACACACACACTTGCACTCATTGGCTTGTCTGGAGACTCCCTCCTAATGGGGTCCCAGACGAGGCTCACACAGTCTTTCTGCCCAGCCTCTTAAAGACACTGACGGTGCCCGTGTGGTCCATCTGAGCACTGGGGGTCTCTGCCGAGCTGGAGCTGCTTACTTTGGAGCTCCCTAAAGTTCTGTTTATGGTGACACGGAACGAAGAGTCAGGCTTGCTCCTGGAACTGGTGACGCTGCTGTCCTGGGCCGCAAGTAGCTTCAACCAGCGCTTGCCCAGTCTCTTGGCCGCGCTGCCTGGTGCGAGGGACGAGGCCTGCATCTCTTCCTTGGCAGGAGCTGCAGGTCCAGCCACGCTGTTGTTCCCCAGTCGCTGGACTGTGGCAGTGGCTGCCACCGCCGCCTGCTTGGGGTCAGAGCTGGTAGCTTTTGCTTTGATCGTCATCCCAACTTTACAGCTCTCTTTGGGCTTGGAGGGGTGGGAGGATCTCTTCAGTACTCCTGCATACTGCAGGACAGAGCTGTCATCGTCGCTGTCGGCTCCTTTGTCCTCCTCCACCTCCTGCATGTCCCCCAGCCGGCTGAATACTCCTGTGGGCTGTTGAGAGACCAGAGCAGAGCTGAGTGGTGCACGTGGCTGGATGATCTTGGATCCCTCTGCTTTAGAGATGAAGCAACATTGCTCAGGCGTACTAAATGAATACAAGTGACCTTGCATTTATACAGAAATCAGGAGAAGTCTGGTAGCACCTTTTCTGACTAATAAATTTTATTTAAAAACATCAGTTTACTTCATCAGATGCAGAGTGGCTACACTGATATAAGATGGGGTGGGGTGTGGCATGGGGAGAAAGGGAGGGGAGGACAGCTTGGTTATGTGGACACAGACTACGTGTGAGAGTTTACAAGTATCGCAATTGAGTGCTTAGAGCTGGCAATGAAGATACTGAAGTGGTGGAGGGCCTCTGCCTGTAGGATCAACCATTGACATGAAAGGAACAAGCAGTCAAGAAATGTGCCACAGACCAGCACTTGGTAGAGCAGCCATGAAGGCCTTGGGAAAGATAGTGAAATGTGTCCCTGCCTACAAAGATCAGAACTGTGCAGGCCGTGGGATTCCCTGTGACACTCTATGGAAGTGAAAGTTGGGCTCTGAAGAAGCACTTGACGCTTTGGACTTTGGCGTTGGAGAAGACTCCTGAGGATACCGCGGACAGCCACGAAAACAAGTGGATCATCGAACAAATCAACCCAGAGTTCTCACTCGAGGTACAAATGACCAGGCTCAAACGATCCTACTTCGGACACATGATCCAAAGACCCGACTCTGTGGAGAAGGCTCTGATCCCGGGAAAGTGGAAGGAAAGAGAAGAGGAGGACGACCAGCAGCCAGGGGGATGGACTCAGTTGTGATAGCGATGAGCGCACCCTTGGAAGAGCAGAAGGACCAGCTTAGGGACAGACCCTCTTGGAGAAAATCTATCCAAGAGGGCAACAATGGCTTGATGGCTCATCATCATCATCATCATCATCATCATCATCATCATCATCCTCGAGCAAGAGACTGCTGAATTCGCATCGAAAAGTTTCAGGCAATCTCAGAAGGTCTCAACAAACACAATGGGATTGTATTACGTTAGTTACTTGTGACCTGTCTCACCCGTAGCCTGCATCTGCATCACCAGTCTTCCCTTCCCTTCTCACATCACCTCAGTTTAAATCTTACCTCAGTCTAGCCATTCTATGCATCTGAAGTGAGATGCAGCTCATGAAAGCTGACTCCTTCGAATAAAATGTGTCAGTTGAAAAAGATGCTACCGGGCTCCTTTTGATTTTTTGTCACCAGATGCATAAGCTCCCCTCCCAAAACCAATTTATACCAGTGTGACCATAAGATGGCAGCAGTCATGGTACAGCTGTCTTCCTGACACAAGCCATTCCTGCAACCTCCAACCAAAAATAGGTCATGACAAGAGCCCTCCACCATTTACAGCTTGCTCTTTTGCAGCAAGTTCCCACACGAGGAAAGGAACTAAGAAAACAATAGAAAAGCTCAGTGCTCCTACATGAGAAACAAGACCCCCAGGCAAAGGGTCCACTCCTCATAGACTCTCCTCAGAAGGAACCCGCTGTAGCTGGATTCTTCAGGAGAGCACTAGCATAGGGCACAGCCAGGCAGCCCTGCTTAACAGAACTGCCGTCTCCCACACCGTCGCCACCTGACACTTTGGGGAGACAGTCAGTGGAAAATACACACAGGAAAGGGAAGAAAAGAAACTGCAGCCAGTTCAGAAGAGCGTCCCCCTCCCTCTCACCTTGCTTCCTGTAGCTGGGTCTGCACTGGTCTCTGCACCAAGCCGGTCAAACACAGAAGTTCTTTGCAAGCCTGACAGAAAAAAGCACAAACACATATACGTATACGTACAGCATCTGGACTATGAAATGGAAGGGTTTTCCAAAGAAATAACTGAGGTACAGATTTATTTTTTTATTTCCCTGCCTACATGCTGCTCCAAAGGATGTCCTTCTTGTGTTTCCCTTCAAGAAAGTGGAAGCAGCAGCAGAAATCATGTCTCTCCGTAGAATGGAGAGACATCCTTTTATATAAGACTCCCTCAAGGTAACCATGCCTAGTATTATGAACAAGACCAGGAAAAGATCAGTGACCAGAAAAACATTAAGAATTAGCCAAAAAAGTAGTTTTGGTTTGAACAAATGCTCTTAACTGGCCCCCTTTGCTTAATCGGAGATAATGTGTTTATCCTGATCCAAATTTTGTCTTTAAGTGCTGAACTGACATATCCTTAACCCTATGTTCATTTCCGGCTCCCCTTTCTTAATTTTGAAGAAGCAAGCCGCCACCCTTGGTGGTGGTTACACCACCTTTTGCTGCCTGCTGCTGCTCCAGGATCTTCTTGGTTCTCGGAGTTGTTCCTTTGGGCATATGGACAATGTACTTCCCTTCCATCTCAGCTGTAACACGACGCCGTTTCACTGGGACGGTGGAATTCTCAGCCCTAGGAGTGGAAACGGCTGTAGCAGCAGGAAAACATAAGCAAGCAAATTCAGTTCAATGTGTACTCATGTGTTGTATATAAATACCACAAGAAGGAGCTTCCACCACTTCTGCTCAGGAGCCCAAACAAGGACGGCCATCAGGACCAAAAAGCAGAAAACAGAAATTGCTCAGATACTTGAGCAGACTGTTCGTTTTTGGTTCCGAGTCCTCCAGCTGAGCAGCTCAATTCTACCCTCGTGGAAGCCACAGAAGCATAGACCTTAACACTCTAACCGTAAAAGGAAAACACATTCACAGTACAGGGAGTAATGCCTTACATTTTATACAAAAACAATATTTAATGTTTCTTGATTTTTCATTGTTTCCATAAAGTTGTTGATTCTACAGGTTGCAGGCGTTTTTAGCATATGCATTTCCTCCCCTACTCCCTCAAAGCAGGCAAAAACAATAAAAGTATCTCCAACCACCACAGGTTTATCAAGGACAGCTGATGCTTGTGTGATTGTGAACATAAAACCTTTGCCCTTTCTCTGCCCAGCAGGCTGGGACCCTACCATCATTGCTCATTCCTAAAAGTTCCTGGCATCTTAACTAAACAGCCCTGGACCATTTCAACAGTGCGCTTAAGACATGCTGAATATCATACAGTGCGCTGCACAATTTCTAGCCCAATAACACGCCAGTGATGTTCAGCTTTCCTTTGCAGATGGAAGGCTAAGGCTAAGAAAAGCTAAGCCGCTTCTTAAATCCAGCATTCCCAATTCATTTCCTATCCCACTCCTCAGGACCAGGATTGAGCGCTACAGGCACAGGAAAGTGGTATACAACCGCACAATTGCTTAGGGACAGCAATGCTTAAGAACTCCACTTAGAACCAGAGTTGCCAGCAGATAAATGTATTCACCCAAGAATTTTTACAATCACCTGTTTTGGTGTTTTTTCCTGCCATTTTGTTGGATACAGTGATGGAGATTTTGGAGGCACTGGTGTCAGGCCTCCGAACAGGAGTAGAAGGTGGAGAGTCTCGACTCAAACTGTTTGCAATCATCCTGGTGGCAGCTACAGAAAAGCAAACGAGGCGTTCAGGAGAGGGTTTTACCTCACCCTCTGCAATACAGCTACGCCTTCAGCAGCACTGGCACAAGTTTCAACATCTGGACACCACACTGCCCAAGAAAGCAACACAAAATGTCACGGGCACAAAAGAACTAAAACAGGGACAAGAGAGCACAACCGTAAAGAACAGCCACCGTGGAGGTCTGGACTCTGCTGAGGCTCTACTGTCAGCAACACAGGCAACCTGTACTCACCGGTATTAGCATTCCTGCGGAGTTCAGACTGCAAAGCAGTTTGGCTAGAGGCCATTGATTCTGTTGCAGCTTTGCACATTTCCTAGAGGAAAAAACACAATTATGCAATAAGACAGTGATCACAGGTGGATAGGGACAGTGGAGTTGCCTTTCCACAAATGCACTGAAATGTCCACTGAAGCAGAAGAAATGCATCAAACCACTTGATCCTCATCAACAGCCTTGATCCTCATTAACAGAAATGACCTGTAGTTCCTCAAGCATCTGTGAGTTTTAGCCCTTCAGAATTTCTTTGCTCCAGAGCTTGAAGATTAACAAAGGCCATTGGTCTACAGGCAGATGGGCCTGACTCCAGAGGCTCTCCACGTGACTGTTCGGAGTAGTCTCCTTGTACTAGGCCAAGGGTATTTGGCGTCCCCAGGTGCAGTAACATCTGAAATTTTTAAGATCCGCCCAAAACCTCTACATTTATTGCTCTCAGCACCAGAAAGATCAATTTGCCTCACCTTGAAAACCATGACTCAATAAATGCTAGAAGCCTCAACGTTTTAAAGTACATAATAAAACAAGGATGACCAGCAATTCCACAGAACTTACCTGCCGGTATACCACTTTAGCGTGCTTGAGAATGGCAATGATATCGCCAACGATCGTGATACCTAACTCGTTCATGATCTCCTTATTGAGGTCCATCAGCATGTTCTTCTGGATCCTGCAAGGACACAGGCAGCAAGGATAAACCCTACGCACCTCGGTTCCCACCAATCCCTTTTACGGGAAAATTCTTTAACTTAAATGCTTCTTCCTCTCCGAAAAGCAAAGGCAACGCCTGTTGGGAGTCTCTCCACTCGACGTCGTGCTGAATTCAAGGTCCACGTACGCTAACGCTGCCGAGCCTTCTCCCAGCCCGGCTCCCCATACCATAAAAGCCAGGCGCCGGATCGCTCCCCAGCAGGGCCGGGAAGACGCCTCCGGAGACCCGCGGCGCGGCAGCCCGG